CCCCAAAACCCCAAAACCCCAAAACCCCAAAACCCCAAAACCCCGAAATTCAGAACTTTTGTTAGAATTTTTCAGAAATTTTGGGAAAAAGATGAATTCAATAGGCTACAGAACCAAGAATATGCTCCTGGTGACGGACGATGTGGGCAAAGCTAAGCCGTCCACGAGGAAACTTCCAAGCGAGAATTTTACATATGGTAAAGCGGAGGATCAAGATGTAGAAGGGGCAGGAGATGTCATGTCTAATTGGAAGTTCCATGGGAGGAGCTCGAAGCATAAACCTGATAGAGATTTTAAGAAATTGAACAAAATGGGGCTTAAGAGCAAAGCTACTAATGCTAGAGATATCTATAAGTTTAGACAACAGCACGATGCGAGAGTTAAAGAGCCTAAGATTGGAGCTGGTAGAAGGAATAACCTCCCTCCTGAGGAGTTTACTTACGGCATTCCATGCAGACCATCTACTCCTATTAGAGATGTCATGGGTAATTTCTTTGGTGAAATGGCTGAGAATGAGCTAAAGTATAAATACTACCAAACCAGATCTAACTTCAGGAAGACTAATATGGCTGAGGAAGCCAACAAGCATACAACTAAGAGTAAAATTGCTCATGAGTTTATTAAATCTAAAGGGAAAGAGGATGAAACTCATGCAAAACTCTTCTCTGGATCTAAGGATCTGTTCAAGATCAATAGGTTCAAGAAGGTAGCCCCACGTTATAAAAACCCTGTTGCCTCTAAATAATCTTTTATCTAATTTACATCTTCATTAAAATCTAGAAATTTAGGACCAAAAGAGACCTAGTAATTTTTAGGCTAAAGGCCTCCCAATCGAACAACGAACAGGTCTTTAAAACCCATCTTTACTGCAACAATCACTATTAACCCCGTTCTTACCACCCATAGCCTCTTTTTACCTTCCTCCCCCATTCACTACAAAATCTGGCCTCTCCTCCTCCATAATCCCTCCTAAATCCATCCAAATTTCATTAAAAAAATCCTTAAAATCACAACTCAGCCACTAAATTTCTCTTGAACTCAGCTAAATTGTACTGGGAGCCTTCTTAGCAGAAGAAAGTGTAACTTCATTCGGCAAAGAGAATAGTCTGAAACAGAGGTTTAGAGTCATTTTTAAGGGATTTTAGGGGAAATGTTCTAGAATACCCTTTGGTTTTCAATTTTTTAGGGGGATTAGGGGTTTTGGGGTTTTGGGGTTTTGGGGTTTTGGGG